TGTGGCAAAGGTGAGTTAAGATATCAGTGGATTCTTTCCAAATAGGAGAGAGGTCGATCCTTGACCCTTAACTTCAGCAGTCCAATCCAAAGGCAGTGGCTGGAAGCCAGTGGCTGTACTAGAGAGAATGGGCAGAAGTTTGTTTTTGTTAAACAGGCAAAAATGCATTTGATCTGTCTTCAGAATTACAGTAATATCTAACAAGGTAAACTGTTGGATCATGTAAGTGAATGGCTAGGTGGAAGGGAGTGGGAGAGATAAATACGTTCTTTGGCAAAATTCAGCAAGCAATGTCCAGACGTGGGGAATTCAGATATTATAATATCTTCTCCAAGCACAAGGTGCATACAAGGAAACCTGGAATCGACTCCTAAAGAGGCAGTAAGTCCTGCAGTTGCAGAACTACTTCAGAAGCCATTAAAGAGATTATGTATGTTTCTATGTGAAGCACTATTGAAAAACTCACGATAACATGATACAATATACTATACAGTACTCCTATAAAAATCTTTGTACCAAAATAAATTGTGGTGGCACATGCCACCCTTCAGGCAGACATGCTACAGTATGTGATTACAGGGGGTGATTGCACTAATGTGAAAAACTCTTCAGCATAAACATGGCCTTGCACTTAGAGGTGTTAGGGTGACAAAGCCATAGTCACTTCTTCAGACATAAAATCCATACATAAAAATCTTAGGACTACTACATTTTCTGAGAAATGCAGTAGTTCTACCAGTTCAGAGAAAATAAACTGTCCTTGCTGTACGGAAATTCATGTACTGATAAAAATCATTGTCTGTATGTCATACTAACTTTTGATTCTATGTAACTTTGCTTGCATTTGAAAGACACTGGCTGAACGGTTCTTGTGGAAGACAGACTTCTATTTGTTCATGAATGGGGTACGAACTGGATCATAACAGAGTAGAAAATGTTTCAAAATATTTCTCAAATAAATTTAAAGATGAAATTAGAAAGGATTTTTGACAAAAATTCTTTAGGATGTTCCTTCCTTTTTTATTTTTAAGATTATATTTCACCAAGATAAGCAGAACAGAGAACTTTCCCAACAGTTACACTGTACAGTGGGGGGAAGAGGGAACCATGGTGCAAGGATATGAGTCACTGAGGACATGGGATGGAGGGAAGGTTCTTTGCAGAGCCACATGTGAATATCATGTAAGCATGGTGTTGTCCCATTTCTGACTTATCACTTTATTTAGGAGCTGATGTTTCTCCTCAACTTTTTAATGAGCCAGAGCTCTCAATGCAGTTTTGTTGTTACAAACTTAGTGCTATTACTTACCTCACTGCAAAATTTTATAATCATTTTTCCCCTGACATTAAAGAAGTTTATTAATCAAGATCATCACATTTCATTCCTTTTGCAAGATAGTCCCAAACACTGGAACACAGACCCCACTCCACTGTGATGCTAGTTTACAGGAAGAAGCCCCATTTGTTCACGTGCCGTGGCTCCCAGTTACACTTTCTTGTTCAGCTTCTGCATGTCTGTGCAAGCAGCCAGAGATTGCAAGCATCTACATACGCAAGTACCCTGAAATAGAGGGCAAATCAAGATTACTTTCAAAAATGCAGGCTATTATGACAAGTTAATAAGAAAGTTTCATTTAAAGATTTCCATCGTCTTACCTTTCCTACCAACACTTGGGAACTTCAACTGCAGGTGATCACTGTGCAAACTTGTGCACACACACGAGATGCTTTTGTTTTTTGTTTTTTGTTTTTATCAACTACATTATAAAGCACTTAACTACTGAATGTGTTATCTATATAACGTTGTATAATCTTTAAGCAAAGATTAAACAGAAATTAGGCCCATTGCCAAAAATAAGAAACTATTCCTTCAAATAAAACTGGGGTAAAAGAAGCTTTCAACTGCCACTCCAAGGTAATTTTTGTTTATTGTGTGATGAAAAATCCACATGAACAAGCACAGAATTTAAATATAGGAGGACCAGAATTTTAATTCAGCATCTGCCATCATTGTGTGCATTAGCACTTCTTCAGTTCCAGGGGATGAATTCAGTTCTCTACATTTTGCAAAGCTGGACAACTAATTCTTCTTTCTCCCTTAGAGCCATGTGAAATAACACTTGGAGAATACCCATCCTGCAGTCTGATGACCTGATCTACCAGCTCTAACAAAGTGACAGAAAACCATTCTTTACCTTATGTGCTCCTGCCACCAGGCTTACATCCCATGTTCTTGTGCTAATGGGTTCCTTCCCTTCCTAGGTTACATCTGTCATGACGTCTGCTACCATAGGACTACAGACATCACTAGACCCTGGCTGTCAGAGCATCAACATTTTGCTGTTGGAAAGAGTTCCATCAGTAGAGTTCTCAGTTTCCAATCAGGTTTAATTTTGGGGAAAAAAGAAACAGAATGGAAACCATATCAACTTTCATGTGTTTTGGGAATGTGATGGAACAGATACAACTAGTGAAGTATCTTGACTTATCTGATTATACACTTTCTATAGAAGCAAAAAGTTAAACCTGATTAACATGTACACACAAAAGCTATGTTGTAATTGTATGAAGGTTACCAGGCAAATTTATTTAGACTGTGTCCCTTAACATGAGGGTTTGTTTTTCCGGAAAACTGCGCTTCATCAAAAATGCCAACATTGCCAAACTAGAGCTGAACTTTGAAACTGTGACCTGTCACCAGGAGACTTCTCCTGTGACTTTAGGGAGATCTTTTCACCTCTCTGTGCCTCAATCCTCTGTTGTCTGAAACAATAAATAAGTAAATAACAAAAAGCAGGAAGAGGGAATAATCTTCAGCCATCCTGCAATTGCCTGGTCTATTTAGATCAGAAGGGCTTCAGGGAGGGGATTAAGTACCCTGTGCTTTTAACATGGTGAGCAAATCGAAGGCTGATCTGAACAAGGGCCTAGGAGAGCTGTTGTGGCATGTGGTAAATGGTCCAGTCTGCCTTTAAAAGCTTTAAGATTCTTGCAAATAGGAAAGTGGCATTTCCTTCTCAATTCCAAATACTATCATGGTAACTGATTGTTGAATGTGCATGAGGACAGAGAAGGATCCTGTCCAAAGAAGACATTATGCAGAGGTGAGTGCTCCTCACAACAGGCACTGGCAGGACAAGCATGGCTCCTTGGTTCTGTTTCAGAAATGAAAAAACCTTGCTCTGATCCTTCCCCACCCTCTCCTGTACCTTTCCTTCTCCCTTCCCTCTTCATTTTCTTGGAGTTCAACTGCGCATGTTTCCTTTGTGATTATACAGGATAGATTTTCTTACTCTTGCATTTTACTGTGATTATTATTTACCTCCAGCTCCCATTTCAGCTGCAGTTACCTAAGTCTTGAATCTATTTTCTTGCAGCAAGCTTCTACCTGAAGTGTCATGTGGATGGCTTAAGTCATTTCTTTCCCTCCAGGGGACCCTTTGCAATGTCAAACAATGTAAAGAAGAGAAGTAGGCCATGGTTAAGTAGTTACTTAAAAGCAGGCCTCACCCTTTCCTCACCACTCATGCTCACCACCTCTCCCCGCGCTGGCACCAGTGTTTGTTTGGCTGCTTGGCGAGCCAGAGGGAATTAGTCCAGTTACTAATGTGGCAAAATACCTGGCAAATAAAATAATAAAATCAATGCAACCTTAAACTGGCCAGAACAACAAAAGGTAGCCATAGCCTTAGACAAGCAGCGCTCAGCGCTCTGCCTAGTTATGTTTAACCCAGTGACTTATCTGGGACGACTGAAATCTACTGTTCCCTCTTGTGAGAGGTGATGTGTGATGAGGAACCTAAAGTTTTCTTTTATTTCCCAGTGAAACTAACTATATACAATCCAGAGTTTTGCCTCTACTTTCTTCCTTTAAAGCTAGAAACGTTACAGCATAAAGGAGAAAATATGCTTCGATACTGTTCCATTTCGCATGTGTTGGTCCTACGGGAATTTTGACAAATCACTCCTGGAGATATTAAAGAGCCATCTTGGCACAATCCTGAACAATGTGCTGCAGGTGACCCCGCCTGAGCAGGGAGGTTGGACTAGATGGCCTCCAGTGTTCCTTCGCTGCTTCCGCCATTCTGCGATTATTCTGTGCCCAGCAACAGTGGCAAATTGCATACTCAAGTTTTCAGTTTTACCTGTTCCATAGGTCAGAGGAAAAGCGTGTCCTATCATGTGATTTTTACTGTTACTTTCAGTGATGGATGTGCTTATTACTTTAACAAGGCACAAAATCCCATTCATGCTCCAGGGGCTCATTCCACGGGTCCTACATACTCCCGTTTTAAAGCGATGCTGCCCCGGGAGACGGAGGGACACCCGGTGTGACCTGGCGAGGCCCGAAACACAGGGAGGGGTAGGAGGAGCGGCTGTGGCCGTGCATCAGGTTACATGCCTCGCTCCTGCCAGCGCCGTTTGCGTGACCGCAGGCGCGCCATTAACGCCTCGGGATTTGTTCCACCACAAAACGAAATTCAGCCGAAGTCAGCTGCAGGGCAAAAAGCAGAGAGCGTGCAAATCAGATACCTCCAATCTGAGCAACTTTGCCCGCGAACAAAATCGCGTAAAATGCCTTATTTTTGCGCAACTGCTGGCTTGCAGGGATTCCTCTGGACGTTCCTTCTGGCCAAGTCTGCGGCCAGAAGGCCAGGGCTAAGGCTTGCACCTCGTCAGCTAATTGGGAAAGTAAACTCGGTGAGACCACGGCTCTCTTGAGTCTCCCGCCGAGGAGCAACGCCCCCCTCACACCTAACTGCACCAACTCCTGCCACTGAGCCAGGCCCGCACACAGCGGCGGGCCGGCGCTTCCACCCCCCGTCAGGCGGCCCTGCAGCAGCACACGACGAAGTAATACACAGCCACGCTAGCCCACCCCGCCTCAGAACTGTCACACACTCCCGCAGCGCGGAGCGGGAGCGGGGCGGGGCGGCGGCACCCTTGAGCCTTCGTCCTTGGCGGGGATTTGAGCTCGGAGGCCACCGCCTCCCCAGTGGCGCCGGGGAGGGCGGTGCGGAGGGCGGTGCGGTCGGGTCGGCCCTGCCCGCAGGACCGCCCCCGCTGCTGCAGAGCCCTCATTGCCCGAGCGCCCGGGACTAGGGGTGGTGTTACTTTCGTCTCTCTCCGTTCTGAGCATTCCGGGTGGGTATGGGAAGAGCGGAGCTAGCGGGATCCCCTCCCCGCGATGGGGGATGCTGGAGGGTTGCCCAGGCCATCTCCGTGTGGCTCGGTCCCGCAGTGGCCGGGTGACTTCCCCCCCCCCCGGGGCCGAGCATCCGTGCGCGGCGCCTGGATGGCGTGGGGGGCTGCGGGCGCCGTGGCCGCTCCCTGCCTCGGTGGGGGTCCGGTGGCCGGGATCGGGCTGTGGCTTCTACTGGTTTGGGTGGGATGGCGGCAGCCGGCTGTGCGCAGACAGCCCCGGGGTGACCGCGTGTGCCAGCCTCTCGCCGGCCTACGGTCTGGGGGGGCGAGGGCCGCACCCCAGCCTGGCCTGGACAGGACAGAGGGAGAGGGAGAGATGCACGGGAAGGGGGCGATGTATGGGAAGGTCGGAGGCACCGCGCAGGGCTCCGTGCGTTCCCCGCGGGGAGGCTCGGGGCCGAATGCGAGCGAGCCGGGGAAATCCCCGCAGGCTTCATGCTCCCGGACTGGTTCGGGGTTTTAGTACCAGTCCCGCAGCCCTGATGGGCGTTCTGAAGGGAGGTGAATACCACAGAGGCGTTAAAGCAGAAGGAGTTTTTGTCCTCTGCGGGGAGGCTCTGGGGAGCAGCCAGCAAAAAGATACTACATTACGTGCTGCCAAAACAGCCCCTGCCCCACTTCAGCCTCTCTGTGGGCAGCGGAGAATGCAGGGAGGGATGGGAGCCAGAGCCCCGTGTCTCAGGAGGGCTGGGTGGGCTGGTGTCTCGTGGGCCGAAGGAGCTCCTCACAAGGGCAGCGTGCCCCTGTGCTGCCGTACCGCAATCCAGTGTCGGCACCGCAGCGACTCCAGCACTTCCATCGGCAAGTTTCCGGCAGTGGCGGTTGACCAATTCAGAGCACGTGTTCTGGTTTCCTGTGGCTTGCTTTGAACCGGATCGCTCTGTCCTTGCAGAAAACCATGGCTACTCTCAAGGAGAAGCTGATTACCCCCATCGCTGCGGGATCCGTAGTCCCGAACAACAAGATAACTGTTGTGGGGGTTGGACAGGTTGGGATGGCCTGTGCTATCAGCATCCTGGGAAAGGTATGGCTCAAGGACAACGTGCTATTCAAGTTCCCCCTGCTGTAATGTTATGTGCTACTTGTTTGTCTTTGCAGATGGTGGGAAATTCGGTAGGTTAGTGCAGGATTGAATCATTTGCAATTCGTGTAAGCAAGCAGTGACCTACGCTGTTCATGCAAGGCTGACTTCATTCAGTTTCTCCTTGTTCTCTCACCTTTCCATCTGTGCTTAGCAATAAAATTTCTCATTACGCAGAGTTATTTAGCAGGCTGCTGGGAAAATACAGTAAGCAATGGCTCTGAAGCCCCTGCCAAACTTTTGTTTCTTTTTTAAACTTTCTTGTTCTTCCACAGCAAAGCTGGGGTTTGCTTGGTGGGAGAGCTCTGCTGTGCAAAGAATGGAAACAGTGCGGAAATTAATGTGACGTATGGGATAGGAGTCAGAACTACGCATGTTTTGATTTGTGTTCTTTTAATATGCTTGTGCAATAATAACTGAAAATACTGCTATTCCATTTTGTAGGCTTTTTTTATTTCTCTTAAACCCTTACTTCTTATTTATATGATTTCATTGTTACCAGGGAGGTTTAGGTAGTTTTCCAAAACCTAAAAATAGAGGGATGAATTTAGAGGCTATTCTGACTTTTCCTGTTTTTTTTTCCTGTTTTTTGGGGGTGGTTTTTGGCAGATTTTATGTTGCAGTCTTTGGGCAAAGCAAAGGCTTATGCAATAAGGATCTCTTGTTCTTTGCATTTTGTTTCTAAAGAATATTGTGAACGAGTTAAATTTGATTCTTACTCTGTTTTTGAAAAGATAAATGGGAGCTGCAGATCCCTTCTTAAGAGAAGGAATAAACGGATATGCCGTACTCACTTGCAGGAGAAGATCTTAAATTGGGTAGCACACAATGAGATCAAAAATCTTCCATATATCTCTAAACCAACTGTATTTTATTTGGAGATCCTCCTTCTTCTACCTATTATCCTGAGGTTGCATGTTTTACAGTACTGGCTTTTGAATAATTAAATTTTTTTAAGGGTTTTCATTTGCTGATATTCATGAGCCTTGTTAGCAAGGAGAAACTGACAGTAAGAAAAGGTCACAGTGAAACTAAGTACTGATGTGAAAGTAAAAAGTAGTTCTTAAAACTCTGCAACTAAAGGAGAAATTTAATTGAAAACCAGTGGCAGTTCATGGTGGGTTTTTTGTTTGAAGCAAATATTAAGCTCTTGTGGTCTGAACTCGTTTGTTTTTGAAGGAGTACTGTAAGTGTAAGCTTGGCAGTGAGTGAGGGAAGTGAAGTTACCGCAAACTCCACCACAATCCATCATTTATCTGTGTTTAATGTGATGCTCTAAGCAGGAGCAAACTGTGTTTCAGAAATATAGGCACAGTTAATGAGTTTTATGTACCAAACTCAGAGTAAAAACGCTTAGATTTATTTTTTAATTTTTCAAGCTTGGATTATGGCTTGATGGAGTTTATTTCAACCAGGCTTGTGCTTTCTCTTATTCTTTTACAAGTATAAACTGCAGTATAAAACAATTTTGTAACAAAGCCATCTGATTCTTGTCACTGAATTAGAATCATAAAATCATATGGATTGGAGAAGACCTTTAAAATTTAATCCGAATGTTAACCTAGCACCATCAAATCCCCTGCTAAACTATGTCCCTAAGCACCACATCTGCATATCTTTAAAATACCCCCAGGGAATGGGGACTCAACCACTTCCCTGGGCAGCGTGTTCCAATGCCAGACTACTCTTTCAGTGAAAAAAGTTTTCCTAATATCCAGTCTAAACCTCCCTTGGTGCAACTTAACGCCATTTCCTCTTGTCCTATTACTTGTTACCTGGGAGAAGAGACCAACACACACCTCGCTACAACTTCCTTTCAGGTAGTTGTAGAGAGTGGTAACAATCCCAGTTCCCTCAGCTGCTCCTTATAAGACTTCTACTCCAGACCTTTCAGCTTTGCCCTTCTGTGGGCATGCTCCAGCACCTCAGTGTCTTACAGGCAGGGACCCAGAACTGAACACAGGATTCAAGGTGCAGCCTCACTAGTGCCACGTACAGGGGGATGATCTCTACCCTGTCCCTGCTGGTCACACTATTTCCGATATCTGCCAAGATGCTGTTGGTCTTCTTGGCTGCCTGGGCACATTGCTGGCTCATATTCAGCTGGATGTTGACCAATACAAAGTGGCTTTGACTACCGCAAGATGGTTGGCTCCCCAGGATGTTTTTTTTTTTGTCAAACCGTGGCATAAAATTTTATAGTTAAATTTTCTATAGTTTAATATGTGGATGCAGTTGAGGTTTAGATGGTTTTGAATTTTATCGGTGTGATAATGCTAATTTCAGTTTACTGGTATAATATTGAATATATAAATTTGAATGCCACTACTAATATTTTTAGGTCCCTCTCAGAGATGAGTCGCTGATGTTGCCATGGTGTTTGCAAAATGGAAACACCTCCACAGTTGCAAGTCAGCTATTTTCAATAAGAATATTTTAAGTTGCACTTGGTGACTGTGTAGGCTTTATCCTGTGTGTACTTATAATGAGCTGAATTCTAGGCAATGCTGATGCAAATTCATTAATTTAGTCACTGGAGCTATTCCAGGTGCTTCTGTTTCAGTGGCAACTGGCTTCTTGAACCTGCTGAGTCTGGGGAATGTTGGCTGCAAGGTCTAGACTAAAATCCCATATTGTCAGACTGTGTATATTGTGTATATAAATCTAGCCATAATTGCACATGTGCAAATATTATTTTTTCAAATTCTGATTTCAGTAACTTAGTTTAACACCAGTGATTTCAGTTAAGGATACTTTTTCACCATGATTAAATAACTTAGACTTTAATTTTACCCTGCAGACTGTTTTGAGGACAGAGCCAGTGCAGATAAAGATTCTTACGGTTTTTCTTCTGAAGTCGATCAAATCAGCTGTGAAAGGAAGCAATGCAGAAAAGCAATAAACTGTAACATTATTTTAAAATATAAAATGAAAAAAACCTAAATATGCCTGTTCAATATATTTTTCCACAGGAAAACCAGTGCATATTGTTGTGTGTTTAAAGTAATTTACTTGATGCTAATAATTAATATTTCCATGTGAAGTAATGAGTGTTACTTTTTATATAAAGGTAAACAAAGAAAGTTTCTTGCAGTATATTTTTCAGGGACATAAAAATGGCTTAACTGCTTTCAAATGGGGTATAGATACGTCAGAAAATAGAAGTAGTAATTTGAATCTTGGTATAATTTACTAAATTATAAGCCTTTATGTATAGTAGAATTTACAAGGGTAGTAAATGCTTCTGTCAAAAGGCAGTAAAAGTTTACATTAGAGCAGAGCCCCTGCTATTCCCATGTTCTGAAACTATACGAAGTTATCTCCCAACTTAACCTGGCTGGACAGCAAACATGCACGTCTGTTTGCAAAGTAAATGATGTAGTAGCTGTAGTAGACAAGAATTAGGTAAAGAATGTTCTCTCTTGACATTACTTTTAGCGTTGAGGAAAATAAGTCTGTGACCATTCTGTATTTTTGTGAAATGAGCTGCTTGAAGGAATGTTATAAGAGAATACTTGCTTGATAATTGAGTGCTGGATAGATTTAGAAGGTTTGTTACAACTCTGAAAGATACAACTTTTTTCCTAAGATACTAACTAAATCATGAAATACCTTGCTGTCAAAAGGTTAGCTGTGCACTCAAACTCCCCACAAGTAATGTCCTTACTGGAAGACTCCAAGTTTTATGAACCTGTACTGTAGTAGTCTCTGACTTTGTTACTGTGAGAACTGTACATCAGAACACCAAGATACTGTTGTCCTACTGGTTTACCTTCAGAGAGGAGAGACTTTCAGATCGGTAACGTGTTACTTTAAAATGTAATATGGCTCAACTCAGAAGTAATTTTAAAATGCAAGTTAAATGCTTCATTGACTCCTTGAAATCTTGTTGTTTTGAGGACCTCTGTGATGAGCTTGCTCTGGTTGATGTTTTGGAAGACAAACTTAAAGGAGAAATGATGGATCTACAGCACGGAAGCTTGTTCCTTCACACTCATAAGATTGTGGCAGACAAAGGTGAACCTTAGTTTCTTTTTATTTAATATTGATACTCTGTGAGTTTTCTTAATAATGGAGCATTAGTTGTGTAATCCTAAAGAAGTCTAAAGATTTGGCATTGAGAAGTTAAAGTCTATGAAGTGGGGTGAGAATTCAGATGAACACGGTAACAATGGGATTAGCTTTTCATCTGGGTTTTCTCTTGCATCTCTAATAGCCACTTTACAATTTTGGGCTTGCTGAGTAAAGTTGATTTTAATTTAACTCTAGTACCTCTTTGTAGAAGAAATAGTATTGTTATTTGGGTAGTGGAAATGAGATTCAGAGGGGTTGAATGTGCTTTCAAGACCCACATACTCATATATTGGGACAATGTTAATAGATGGTGCTGGTTATGGAGTTTGAACGTATGCACAATGGAGCATAATACATGTATGAACACAACACTATTGAAATAGGTGATAAGTCTATTTAACACATTGTATTGTAGACTACGCTGTCACAGCCAACTCCAAGATTGTGGTAGTAACTGCAGGAGTTCGTCAGCAAGAGGGGGAGAGTCGTCTCAACCTGGTTCAGAGAAATGTGAATGTCTTCAAATTCATCATTCCTCAGATTATCAAATACAGCCCCAACTGTACCATTCTGGTAGTTTCCAACCCCGGTAAGGCAGTCCTTTCCTAAAACACAAATTCTGTTTGTTGGAGAACTAGTGTTTTATTTTTTCAGTCTTCTCAAATGAAAATTGAATGTCAGAAATTAATAGCTTTGTGTGCACGTCTGCCATGTGGTTGCTAACACCAGCGTACAAACAAATATTCTGTACTTTTGATGCCCTCTTTATTCAGAACTTCTCATGGTGTCCATATTTCCAAAGCATGCTTCAGGGTAAATACTTCAGTTCTTTACCTACTTTTAAGCTGTAGGTACTTTAAAATTTTTATCTCTAAAGAGAACATCCATTTTGCTTTTAAACTCTTTGTAAATCATAACTTTATTTTGTGTCTGGGTATGATATGGCCATTTTTCATGATGAAGAACTGACCATATAGTCTTGGCTATATTTACAGAAAAAAATAATTTGCATGCTGAAGCTTATGGTGGGGAAAAGCGTAACTGTACTGCATAGTTCAGTTAGATTAGAAAAGATGTAGTTATTACACATTGTGTACTCGCTTGGAAGCATGCTGTTGCACTGGGACAGCTTGTGTACTTGAATATCTAAATCCAACTCTGACCATTCTGATATGCTTTGTGGATTGTCTTGCTTAATCCAATGTTTGAGTGATGCCGTTACTGCAGAACCCTGGCAATGAAGTGATACTGCTTTTAAAGGTAGCTTTGCAGAGTCAAAACAGTGCACATAAAGCTAGCAGCTCAGCCGGTGGCTGAGTAATTAGCTGGTGTACAATTACTACTGCTGAATACTAGTCTACTGTGCAAGTACAATAATTTATGGCAATTCTAAGCACTTCTCTGAAAATTGAACTGAACCAAAGATCAAATTGTTCTTGTTCTAGCAAGGTTGAATTCAAACTATAGACTTCAGGATGGCAGCTGCAGGAGGAGAATTATATGTTGTAATTTTTCAAAACTACTTTTATACTTTGTGTTCTCAAGATGAATGTAGTTTTGTCCACTTGTCTTATGTAGTGGAGGTTACTGTGAGTCCTTTAGAAGGGACTTCAGGCGTGTCCGCTGTATGTGTGTTGGTATGTGACCTTGATATCCTACCATTTTTGACTTCCTTGATCTGTCTGGGTTCTACCTCAAATAACACTGTCTGCAGCCTGTCCTGTGGAAAGCCCAACAGTAGGCCAATAATGAAATTAGAAAGCAGTCCTCAAAGTCTGGATGTGTGTCTCAGCACCTGACTTGAAAGCCAGACTGTCTGCAGCAGCTGCTTGATAGCTGTTGGCTCTGTAGTCTGTACAGGTCACTGATCCTGGCAAGAGCTCCCCCATATGAAGCTGTAAGGAAGCTGTGCCTGGTGAGCATGCCACTTGCAACGGCAAGGTGTAAACTGTACTGAGATAATGTGCTTTTGATGCCTGAGCAGAACAAATTGGCAGTGCTGGGGAATGGTTTGACTTGATGATCTTAAAGCTCCTTTCCAACTTGGCTGATTCTCTGACTCTGTATTTCAGATCTGTGTACAGAAATACATTTCCTTCTGAGCACTGGCTGGCTTTTGGGAGCTTGGGCCATAATTATTGCAGTCTGTTTATTATTCTTGCTCTGACATGTGATGTAGAGTTCTCTCTGTCCTCACATCCCTTTCTTTGTTTGCCCAAACCTAGATTTGTTGTTGGTTTTGCTTTTGAGGTTTTTGGTGGGTTTTTTGTTTTGTTTTGTGGGTGTTTTTTTTTTTTTTGTTTGTGTGGTTTGGGGGGTTTTGTTTGTTTGTTTTTTGTTTTGTTTTCCTAAAACTATTTTTAGGACCGCATGCAGGTAAGTGTGTTGCTTATCTGGCTTTTCATGCAACAGAGGTAGTCAGTGCAGAAACTGTTTAATGCACAGATCTGTTCAAGAAATTACATTGAAGTAGTTACATACTCTTTCTAGTTGCTAAATCTCAACCATTTTTCATTGTACATTTCCTCTTATTGTGATGATGAAGTGGAAGGTAACATTATGTCAGGAAATTGCTTGAATGTTTTAACCATATGAGTTCAGCCCCAGTACTGGAAGCCCTATAGGTATTGCTGTGACAAAAAATGTTCCTCAGACTTTAGCTGGAAGGAAACTAATCTCTAAAGATCTTCCTCAGTTTTCTCTGAGAAGTAGTTTGATGGTCCTAAATTTTGAGCGGTGCATTCATTTTAATCTGCAAATAGTTAGACCTACAGTATTTTGAGTAATGAGCACAACTGTTCTGAGTCCTCCTGATTGCACTGTTACTTGCAGTGAGGCAATTGTTGGAACATTCTCAGTATATGCAAATGGTTTCATTTACTGTGCATGTTTTTCTTTTCAGTGGATATATTGACCTATGTCACCTGGAAGCTGAGTGGCCTGCCAAAACACCGTGTGATTGGAAGTGGCTGCAATCTAGACACAGCCAGATTTCGCTATCTGATGGCCGAGAGACTTGGCATACACCCAACCAGTTGCCATGGCTGGATCTTGGGAGAACATGGTGATTCTAGTGGTAAGGAGCATTCCTGACACACCTCCTTGGGAATAAGCACCTCTAACGATGTTAGAGGCCTAAGGGGTGTTAAAATATTCTGAAAGAACAGATGCAGCTGCGCCAAAGTAACTACCACTTTCCTGTATTCTCATGAAGATTAGAGTTAAGACTAGTTCAGGAAGTTCAGCTACATGCTTTAATAAAAATGATTGTGAGTGCATGATTAAACCCTAAACTGAAAACGCCAATTTTGTTAAAGATTATTCTGGTTTTAGGGTATCATAATGTAGCCTGTAGCACAGTTCTCTTCTGAAAGCAATATTAGCTCTTATTAGGTCAATGGCAGGGCTTGTTGCAAGTAGTAGAAAAAGATTTCAGATTCAGGCTAACAAAATTATCCCTTTTTTGTGACTTTTCTGTGTGCTATTTAAAAGGTAAGATGTCTTTTAAAACCACATGAAATAAAAGCAGCTTATTTGTCTTAATTCAGTTCATGTATTTTGAGTCTGAAATGATGCAGCGGAACATCTATGTAGATTGGTACTGCTTTAAATTTTAGTGCTGTGTATTTCTAAGGGAGCCATCTCTTCAGTGTTCCACCACATGTGATCAAAGTGCAGTGTTCTGTCTGATCAACAACAGTATTTACTGAAGCCAGCCCTACACTGTAACAAAAGCAGAGCTTGGATAAGCATACACAGAGCTCATCTTACTTCAGTGTCATAGCTGTTTTGGCTTTGAAGTAACCAAGAGTTCATACCTCACAGGAACAGAGGAAATGAATCTGCCTGTAAGCTGCCAAAATGAATGGATATGTTAAGTTTGCATATTGTTATCCTGTTATTCGGGAAAATAGGGTTAGCCTTCAAGAATTTTAATACTGATTAGAGGGACAGCAAATACATACTTGCTGCAATTTTTGAGTAAAATTAGCTTTAAAAGTTTGAACAGCTAAGATGTGCCTCTTTGCTAGAATTTGAGGTTTTTGACTTCAAAAGTAGTTATCTGCACCTTCCAAGGACTGAAAGTTCTGTTGTTCATGTATTGTAATGGACTCATTAAAGTGTCAGCACTAAATATCTGTCCCTCAGAGTTCTTGGAATTAACTGAGGTTAAATGAAAATTTGAAATCTGCTTCAAACATTATTGTGTTTCTGACTACTACTTTTGTTTCCAGTTATCTTAGGGCGATAGAAAAAGTGGAGGGGAAGTTGCTAGTTACTATGGAAACTTATGTCCTCTTTCTGTTGCAGTGGCTGTTTGGAGTGGAGTTAATGTGGCAGGCGTTTCGCTCCAGGAGCTGAATCCTGCTATGGGAACTGACAAAGATAGTGAGAACTGGAAGGAGGTCCACAAGCAAGTAGTTGAAAGGTACAGTGGCTTGAGGAATAAGGTGGATATATATACGATGCTGAAAATAGCTAGTCTGCACTCTGCCTCCTTGTCAGTGCCTCTCCGTTCTGCTTCAGCTTTCATGCCCTTTTCTTTAGAGGATTGTATGCGTAAGTGGAACTACTGGTTTAAACACAGAAATGCAGGATCTCGGTAGGCTTTATTATCCTGCAGCAAGGCAAGCTACTGTGTAACATACCCACTTTAGTACTGCACTGCTTAGCTTTGTGTGCACTTGTAGCTCTCTCACAAGTGGCTTCTTAAATGGTTAACTTTATTTAAAGGGCACAAGACTAGGGAAAGTAGTATGTTTTTGTGAGCACAGTGTTGGAGTTAATTTGGGGAAAATTTTTGTTCATTTTATTTAGGAAAACTTGTCTAGAGGTAACTATATATGTTGCTAAATCACTTGTCTTGCTTGTGAAATAAAGACTATACTGCTAAATAGTGTACACAGATGTTGGTTAAAAAATTAGGATGTATGTAGGTAGTGAATGGCTTTGACTTTTAAATATTTACCTATTTCAAATGGTCTTTATTCAAGTCAGTGGCACAATCATTCTGAGAAGTTGTTCAGTTATAGGTACCTGTTTTTCCACTTGACACTAAGAACTGTTCATAGATGGAAGCTATTTTTCATTTCAGCTAATCCAGTGAGAACAATGTGGCTTCTTTATTATACATATGGGATAATGTAGACTTCATGCTTTATCCTCAAATGCTGAAAAGTGTAACTGTCCTACATTTTAACTCCAAAACTTACAGCATGTCACAGAAGTTCCAGATTTTCTTTAGTAGGAAAACATTACTCTTAAGACTTCCAATTAACACAGTGTCTTGAAGACATTATAATGCAACTGTATTTCAATATTTCCTTAGTGCCTATGAGGTAATCAGACTTAAGGGATACACAAACTGGGCCATTGGCCTTAGTGTTGCTGAGCTCTGCGAGACCATGCTGAAGAACTTGTGCCGTGTTCACTCAGTCTCAACGCTGGTAAAGGTAAGAAGTGTTGGCTAATTTGATGTTCTAGTTCATTTTGTTGTCATGGAAAAGCTAAATAGTCTCAGTTAGCAAGGTGCTGAACAAAGATAGCTTTGTAAAATACTACTTTGAATTTAAAATGGGAGCCTGCTGTTGCAAGTTTTTTCTAGTCTGACCTTGTCACAAGCATGGAGCTGAAAATAAGTTCTCTGTACTCTACCCAATGTTGTACTACCCTTGTGTCAGGTTTGCCATGTGTGGCATGCAGGTTCATTAAAAGGAAGCTTCAGTGCAAAATGGAAAGCTTCATGGAGGCCCAGCTGTGATTCTGTGAACCTAGGCAGAAGTGCTATAGAAGAGAGATGTGTCCTTTTATAGTTGGCATAACTGCTGCATGTAGTCTGTACTACTGTACTGTGCCGTATAACCCCTGGTGCAGCAAGGACTCAGAGCAGGCTGAAGCTGCAGCTCCCTCTGTATTAGGAAAAAGACCTGCCCTAATACTATTTAAATTTTGTCAGCTACTTGCTGAGAGTAGTGAGGGTTTTAGAGGTGGCGGTCTCTGAAATCAGCCATCTTGGTACTGCTGATCCCTTGGTCTGAACCAGCTTTGTACTATTGTATTTTCTCAAACACGTTGTGACTGAAAGTTTCCTGCAGGTGGCAAAATAATAGTCTCGAGCTCTGCTCTCCAAGCAGATCTGGGGTGGTGTGTATATATCTGAGTAATCTCTTTTGTTTGTGGCAGGGCATGTATGGCATTGATAATGATGTCTTCTTGAGCCTTCCTGCTGTCCTGAGTAGCTCTGGATTGACAAGTGTCATCAACCAAAAGCTGAAGGATGATGAGGTGGCTCAGTTGAAAAAGAGTGCGGATACATTGTGGAGCATCCAGAAAGATCTTAAAGATCTGTAATCTATGAATGTTAGATATGTTCCAGAAATAGAAAAACAGTGTGTTATGTGCAAAGTGGGCTCTACTCACTGTACATCATTATGGTTTAAACATTTAATGCTGTTCCAAAATGAGCTTTGTTCACAGTAGCTAAACTTACGTTTGCTGTAACGCACAGACCTTATGAACAAATAAAGTAACTTTCAGGCATGTTTTGTTGTCCTGGTGATTTATTTTGCAGTACCTTAATTACCTGCCTTACTCTAACATTCTGCTTTATTGTATGCCCCAGCCTACCTGGAAGTGTTTAAAAGGTTAGAAACAAGGCAGTAATCACTTGTGGTGGGATTTCACTAATACAGTCTTACTGGAAATGATTTTTGTATGATTTAGTTTCAGCCCAGGTTCGAAGTGTAGTTCATTCCAAGACTTTTTTTCTGATAAAGTACTTCCTGTTTTTTCTCTGATGGATAGAGGAAATGGAATGGGGATTTGCCTCTGGGCCACCTGCCCAAAGCATGCCAACATTAAGATTCTGTATGCTACTAGCCTAGAAAAAGGGACCTCTAGATGCTTCTCTTCTGCTTTCAGTTCTTTGCCTCACATCATTTCATAATGTTCAAAGCAAACAAAATTATTTTCTATTTGATTACCACAATCCAATTTTTTTAGAGTTAAAAAGACTGGAGTCCCATGCTAATCTTGTTTATAGAACAAGTCAAATTGGGCCTTTAATCTCTAAATTTCAGCAAGATTGTTTCACAAGTGCTTATATACTTGGGGGGAGGGTGGAGTGGGAGGGAGAGAACAGATTAAAAAAAATAAAGCCCAAAGTTTTATTTCTCCATCACTTAACAATTACGGAGTAGATATTAACTGTGAAATAGGCAGTACTTGCTTGGCATGCTTAGAACTGCTCAACCTAAACATCATGGGGACAAACAGTATCTATTCCCTCTATCTTGTATCATGATTCGGGGACCTGCAAGTCTCGTTTTGTATCAAATGGTCTGAGATGAAGTTGGAGCAATGTCAAGGCCTTTTCTAGCTCCATTAAAATGCTTTGAGTAGTGAACTAAAACACTTTCACAATCAAGTAGCGTAATTTTTGTAGCTTCTTTTAAAAGAAAAGATCATGCAAATTTTGTCATACTGCAAGAAAACTCCCTTGATTTAGTAAGTATCCTGTAGCTAATGAAATGAGCTGCTGCTCTTTGCAGCACACACCCATTGGCAGTTTTCACCTGAATGCATTTAGCTGGCTGGCTACCTTGCACAGTTCCTTCCTGACTTTGTTCTTACACTGTCCTCAGTTAATGAAATAATTAAAAGTTATGTTGTGTGATATTATCTTGCAGGATTCTTGAGACCGATATGCGTGAGGAGGCATCAGTTGCCTTAGAGGATAGGGGATGGGCTCTTTTCCAATCTGATACTGAATTTTGATATTTTTATCTTTAAAGGTTACACAGCTACAATAAGACTGGCTTTTGTCCCTGATTACATTAGTGTGCATTCCTCACCCGTTAAAGTGTAGAGCCATGCCTTGTTCTATGTTCAACAAACTTAGACCCCAAAGTAGGTTGGGACATCTTGAATTGAGCATGTTTATAAGTGCTTGAGTGAGAAGCTGCTGTCACCTAATGTCTGTTAACTATTCCTTCAATTCCCTCGAGTCAACAGAGGCTTGTTGCCTATTTTTTTGTTTGTTAATGGTCATAGACTTAACAACAGGATAAGATCCTTTATGCCCAGATATTGAGGAACTGAAGAGCTAATGACAAACTAGTACAAAAATATGTGGTCTGTTATAAAATAAGGTGAGTGGATACAGATGAAGCAAGGAACTGAAAGAATAATGAAAGATCACTGTTGTGCATGATGAGCACCTTTCTTAGTGCATTGGCAGCCTCGCTGTATCAACTTCTACTTTTGGAGAGATGACTCTTTTCAGTGGTGCCCATCGACAGGATGAGGAGCAATGGCCATAAGCTGAAACACAAGAAGTTTCACCTCAGCATGAGGAAGAACTTCTTTACATTGAGGGTGGCAGAATACTGGAACAGGCTGTTCAGGGGGGTTGTGGAGTCTCCCTCTTTGAACATCCTCAAAACCCACCTGGACGTGTTCCTGTGTAACCTGCTCTAGGTGGCCCTGCCTTGGCAGTGGCTTGGACTGGATGATCTCCAGAGGTCACTTCCATCCCTAATAATTCTGTGACTCACTTGAGGTAGATCAGTAATGCTATTTTAATTGCTATAAGGACCTACACTACCTTGCGTTTGCAGGTATATAGATCCTGGCTCCAGAATAGAAACTCTGACTACCTTGCAAATGTCAGACAAGAGACACACAGATAACTGACAGGCCAGTGACATAGGAGAGATACTACTGGCATGGTTGTGGCAGAAGACTGGAACTCAGTCCTCTGAGTTATGCTGATATGTGCTATTGCCACAGTATTTGTATCATGGCTTTCCCAAGAAATGTATGTGAAGAAGAGAGCTTGAGTTTTCCACCTGAATATCCAGAACACTGAGATGAGTAGCATCTCTTGCTTTATTATCGATCTACGTAGCCACTGTCTGCAAGAGGTGGGCTTGTTCTGAGGTCCAATAGGGTGTTAAATCAGCTGGATTTTTTTGTTAGTCAAAGGATAAAAATGGGGCAGGGAATGGAAGGCACCTTTAAACAGTGAAATAATGTTAGAACATTTAGGTGTAGAACAGTGGAAATGCTTTATATATGCATTTTGCTAGGCTGGTAGTGCTTATATGACTTTCATACTAGCTAACTTAAAACTGTGTTTTATAAGTATGTGACTTATGTCTTAAGTTGCTCACAGAATTTCTGTTGTCATTGTGTTTACCCACTTCATGTCAGCCTTGTGCTGCAAAGAAATGCTGTTTTCCCCAGTTTACAGATACAAATTGTAACAATTAAGCCATGATTTCTCAGTGGACTGTAGATCCTGAACTTTCACTGATACCAGTATGACCAGGAGCCCAAAATCATTTAAGAGTCAGATCCTTATATGTATTCCATACTGACACTATAGTGTAATGGCCTCCCAGGACAATGTCTAATTTTGGATGTTTCTTTTTTTGCAATGAATAGTTCTCCTCTAATGCACATTAAACTTTAGAAATCATAAAACTTTTCAAAGCACGAAAACTCTCAAAGCTTTTCAGAGACTACAGTAGTAACAGCTTTCCTAAAATTTACATTGATCACGGTGGTGTACTACGTTTTTATAAAGTGTTGCTGAGATACCATTGCTATGTGAGTTATTATCCTGTGCAAGCAAAGGAGTTGTGCAAATAATTAACTTGGATTGGTCTATTGGAGAGGTCAGACTCGGGAGGGCTGGATTTGCTCTGTGTCTGAAATGAATAATTTACCTGCAAACATAAACAGCAAAGCACAGTCTGGCCCAGGCAATGGCTATGCAAAGTTAATTTTCTAAGTAAATATTTTCTCCCTTATGCTCTCCTCTTTAATAGCTCTTCCACATTATTTAGACATGTTTACACATTCAATATCTGAGCTAAAAAATCCAGAAAATTTGACAAAATAGCATGAAGGTGGATTTCTAGTAGCATTAATTTCTGGAAGGGAATATTCATAATTCTTGGTCTGTGAGATATGCTAAATGAAAATATGAAGGGAAGAAAAAACACATTTTGCTTGAGATAGTTTTCTCCATGCTGCTAATCCTGTGTTTCAGACTATAAGAAATGCAATGATTTCCAAACTCTTTGTTCAGCAGTCTCCACCAGTAGATACTGGAATACTCTCCCAGTCCCTGATACTCTCAGGCCAAAGACCAGTCTACAGGAGTATTTGTTGACCTCCTGTTTGTTTTCCAGAGTGTCTTCCTCGTAGAAAATTGTTGTGCAGTAGAAAGAAATAAGTATTTTTAAAATTACTTCTGTAAGAGACTCAACTCTTGTACCAAGGTTAGAGTGCTTAATAACACATGATTTTCTGGTCTACAGTATTAGGAAAGTAAAATCAGATTGATAAGCACTCCTAATCCATCAAAATTAATTGATGGAGGGGTGTCTATCCCCATCAACAGATTTTTCCGGAGCTCCCTTGGGTAAGCGATTTACCGTAAGTGTTGAATGGAGCAAACTCGTGGCCATGTCTCAACTAGAGAGAGAAGGGTAGTGAGCTAACAGACATGTGTCCCCTACCTCCTCAGAACAGGTCCTGATTGTATCAGTTACTGGGACCTGTGTGTAAAGCTCCCAGACTTTTTTCCAGACACATTTACAACAGTTTGACTAGAGTTTGATCATACACTGAATGCCAAATGCTTTAAGTGTAATTAAAAATTCTAAAAATTCTCAACATCTCAAGCAGTCTTATGCATACCTGTACATTCCTTCTGCATTTCTTAGTTCTTATTTATTAAGGAATGTCTGTCCATCACAATCCAGCTCTCCCACTGGGTTTCAGACCGAACAACAGTTTGGCAGGTGATCAGCAGAGCTAAGATGTCTGATCAAAAAGCCTCCAAAAAAACAGGAGAATGATGCTGATGAACACTTTAGGCATATCACTTAGGCAGGTTTGCTCTATTATCCTTATTTTCTCTACCTCTTTGGGATTTATAATGAGGTTTACTAGATTCTGAAGCCAAATATATTAAGACTTTTTTTCTCTTTAGAAGTGTTCAAAACAAGTGCAGCTGATACCTTACTGTGGTTGTGAAACATGAAACTAAACCATAGAATCATATAAAATAGACATTTCAACCTTAAAATTCTAGAAAACTTTTTTTTTTTTTAATTAAGTAAAATTCTGTGGTTTTTTTTCTAAAATATTACTAGGGAAGTTCATCAGTACACCTAAATCGCAAAGGTAGTAAACAGTGAGGCCTTCCAGTTGGGTCAAAAAGACAACTACATCACATGGAGATCAGAGTAATACATTTAAGAGTTAGGTAACTGAAGACAGGAAATGCCGCAATGAAGTACAAAAGGGGATAAGAAAAAAGGGGAAAAACTGGGGTGAAGAGAAAAAGAAATACGGTGTTTTCATACTTCCTTCTTAAAGTCAACAGCATCCTCATCAATGTCTGTAATGTGCCCTTTTAGAAGGGTGGATATTACTTGTAGGGATACAAAATAAAGCTCAGCCTTTAAGTTCTCAAGTTTCTTCGTAAGGGTTGGACTAGTCTTGGCAGCTCACACTGCCAGGAG